CTTTGTCTAATCTTCTCTGTTCTCTCTTTGCCGGGACTTCAACGTTGGAGACGGTGGACTTGGATGGGCTGGTACTTCATCGTTGGAGATGGTGGAATAAGGATTTGGAGGCGTCTGGCTCTTCATCGTTGGAGGACTTAGAGAGGAGGCTGGGCACATTGGATTGGAACAGCATGCCAACAACGCTGGAGTGGAGGTATTTTTAAGTCTTTAAGGAAAAGCAGAGGTGAGTTGGTTTCATTGTCATTTTGGCACCCCTACTAAGTACTAACATTTCCCTCCCCACCCCCACTCTCAACACATCTTTTGTTGTAGTTTTTTCCATTTGCTTTTTGTTGTTGTTTTTTCTTGTGTCTAATCTTCTCTGTTCTCTCTTTGCCGGGACTTCAACGTTGGAGACGGTGGACTTGGATGTGCTGGCACTTCATCGTTGGAGATGGTGGAATAAGGAATAGGAGATGACTGGCTCTTCATCGTTGGAGGACTTAGAGGAGGCTGGGCTCATTGGATTGGAACAGCATGCCAACAACGCTGGAGTGGAGGTTTTTCTTTGTATTCCTTTGATGTTAGGTCCTTTTGTTATTTTAGTTCTTTCTTTTTTTTTATTTTGTTTCCTTTGTTAGTTTTTGTTGTTATTTGTTTATTTGGTTGTTATTTTTGTTTTTTTTTTCTTATTATGTTGTTATTATATTTTTTGGTTTATGAGGGGTGTAAAAGTTGTTCATTTTCATGCTTTATTTATTAATTATTTTGTTACGTTTTAAAAAAAAATGTTTTTTGGTTATTTATATATTAGATTTTTTAGAGAACTAGTTATTTATTAATTTAAGTTTAAATAATTGTTATGTTAGTTTGGTAAGATTGTAAATTGTTATTCTTAAGTTTAAGCTTTTATTAGTTTTGTTAAATGTATGTTACTAGTATTTATGTTCCCCAAACGAAGTTGGGGAACATATTGTTTTTACTCTGTTTCTTATTATTATTATTATTATTATTATTATTATTATTTTTCTTCTTCCTGGGAAAATTTTGTCCACGAGTGATCTTGTAAACTATACATCCGACTTAGGTGAAACCTTTTTAGGGTCAGTAGGCATGTTATGTAGAGTTGCCAAACGAAGGTCATTTTGCGCGCACGTGCTTGCAAGAGCGCGCACGTGCAACACGTGAAATGACCAATATAATGTATACTGCCGTAACTTTTCTATTTTTTGATGAAATGTTTTGAAACTCATAATGTAAGGATATATTAGTAGTATAAACAAGATGACATGGTCAATATGGAAAGATCTCACGCGCATGCACGTGCGCTTCGCTCTGATTGGCTGAAACTAAAGTCTCAATATTTTTCTTGTTTCTTGTCAAAATCATTTGAAATTTTGAACTTAGTCACAAATTATGAAGATCTACAGCATGATTAACAAGAATTTTCATAAAAGCACGTACATGCAATGCATGTGTGTTTGCAAGAGCACGTGCGTGCAACACGTGAAATAACCGGTTTAAGTGATATAGGCGTAACTTTTTACATTTGTAATGAAATGCTTTGAAATTCAAAATATAAGGATATATTTGTAGCATAGACAGTATGACATGGCCAAAATACCAAGATCTTACGCGCATGCACGTGCGCTTCGCTCTGATTGGCTGAAACTAAAGTCTCTATATCTTTCTTGTTTTTCAAAGAAATCTTATGGAATTTTGAACATAGCCATGCATAAAGATATCCTACACCATGATATATAACAATTATCATGAAAACACGTGCATGCACGTGCGCTGCAATCTGATTGGCTTAAACTTTAAATAGCTATAACTCCCTTAGTTTTCAACAAAAGAGGATGGGATTTGGAACATAGATAGATTTAATAAACCTCTACAAGAAGGTATGGCCACAATGCACATGCATACATGTGGGTGTACATGCGCTGTAATCGGATTGGCTGAAACTTTAAACAGCTATAACTCCCTTGGTTTTCAACCAAACGGGGTGGGATTTAGAACATAGATAGATGTAATGGACTTCTACAAGTAGATATGGTCACCATGCTCATGTATGCACGTGCGTGCACGTGAAATGAGTTAAATCAAAAATACACTTGAATGAGCGTATGTTTTAATACTTTTGGTTTAAATACTTTAATACTTTAATATTTAGTATATTAAAATTTATAAATTATGTAGACAAGATGATATGGTCATTACACACATGCATTCACATGCGCACGCGTGCAATGCTAAAATTTAAATGAACTTGGCGTTGATAATTAAAGTCTCAAATGCATAAATTTTGTCCTATTTAATGAAGCTTACATGGAATATGGCACCAAAAGGGAGTTGGGGAGCGTTTGGGGAACATCTGTAACGGTCCCCGTTACAATTAGCACTAGTTATTATTATTATTATTATTCTTTTTTCTTCTTATTTCTTCTCCGGACTTTTTTTGTCCGGAAGTGTTCTCAGAAACTGTTCACCCAACTAAGTTAAAACCTTTTTAGGGTTAATAGGTGTGTTGTGTAGATGTGCTGAACGAAGGTCATTTTGCGCGCATACGCCTGCACGTGCGGGCGCGTGAAGTGAGTTAAATGACTGTTATACTTAATATAGCCATAACTTTTACATTTTTTGATGAAATGCTTTGAAACTCATTACATGAGGATATATTAATATTGTTAATATAATGACACTGTCAAATTAGACCGAACTCACGCGCGTGCACGTGCGCTTTGCTCTGATTGGCTGAAACTAAAATCTCAATATCTTTTTTGTTTTTTGATGAAACCCTTTCAAATTTTAAACATAGTCATGCATTAGGATATCCTACAATATGATATATAAAAAATTTCACGAAATCACGCGCATGCACGTGTGCTGCAATCTGATTGGCTGAAACTTTAAATGGCTATATCTCCTTTATTTTTTGACAAAATGCTTTGAAATTTAAAACGTAGTCATGCATTAGGATATCCTACAATATGATATAAAAAAAAATTTCATGAAATGACGCGCATGCATGTGTGCTGCAATTTGATTGGCTGAAACTTTAAATGGCTATATCTCATATGTTTTTTGATGAAATGCTTTGAAATTTAAAACTTAGTCATACATTAAGATATCTTACGATATGATTCAGAAAAATATTTATGAAATCACGCGCATACACGTGTGCTGCAATCTGATTGGTCAAAACTTGAAATGGCTATAACTCCCTTGTTTTTCAACCAAACAGGATGTGATTAAGAACATAGATAAATATAAGGGACTCTTACAAGAAGGTATTGTCGTCATGCACGTGCACGCACGTGCATGCATTTGGAATGAGTGAAATTAAAAATACACTTGAATGCCTGATTTTAATACTTTTGGACTGAATGCTTTAATATATACTATATTTAAATATGATAAATAGTGTAGACAAGATGATATGATCTTACCGCACATGCATTCACATGCGATTGGGTGCAATGCTAAAATTTGAATATAATTGGTATCCTTCTGAGAAAACGTTGCTAAAGTAAAAAATGCACAGAATTTGTCTTATTTAATGAAGCTTACAGGGAATGTGGCACCAAAAGGGAGTTGGGGAGCGTTTGGGGAACATCTGTAACGGTGCCCGTTACAATTAGCACTAGTTGTTATTGTAATGAGTCATAATGTAACAGTTATTGTTATGATTGATAGATATTTGTTATCTATCAGTATATAAGTTATTTGCTACTGTTTTGAATATGCTAGTTCCTTGTTATGGGTATGAAGATCATTGTCATTTGTTATAATTACATTTATAGGAGTATATTTGTTTCATGAGTTTTAGTTATTTGTTATTTGTATGAGTTTTTATTAGATGATATTGTTATGATTCAGTTATTTGTTATTGTGGCGGTTATGAGTTTTAGTTGCTGTGAGTTTTAGTTATTTGCTTTTGTTGTGATTTTAAATTTTTTGTTATTGTTATGAGTGTTAGCTAGTTGTTATTGTTATGAGTTTTAGTTATTTGTTATTGTGACAGTTGTTTTTAGTTTTAGTTGTTATGAGTTTTAGTTATTTGCTTTGGTTGAGATTTTTATTTATTTGTTATTATTATGAGTTTATGTTAATAGTTATGAGATTGATTTGTTATTGTCATTCTTAAGAATGTGTCTTATGTTCATCGTTGCATTAAATGCATTAGCATCATTAACATTAGACATGTTGGATAATGAGGAAATTGTGTGTTTCACCCAAAACATCTGTCTTAGTGAGGGCTTTATTACAGTAAAATTCGGTGATAACAAAGTCACTGGGACCTATGTAATTACTTTGCTATATCCATAATTCCTTATATCAGTATAAAAAACTTGTTAAATATATATAGCTGGGGATTCAAGATAACTTCGCTGTATCCGTGAATTTGCAATTTCCTTGTTCATACTAAACAAATTTCAGCTCTGTTTTAATTTTTTTTTTTTTAGTATTTTGTAGTTAGACAATTCAGAAAAATGAAGAGGAATATAAGCCAAATATACACCACCATCGATAAGGTAAGACAGAAAATTTGAATTGATAATAATTGGGAAAAAACCCTGAAATGAAGTATTATATTGTTAGAGAATAGATTTATAATGTTCCATTTCATAATCAATGATATACAGCCAAACTTCATAGTAATCATCTTTATACAGCAGAGATCTCTTAGGTGGTCATTTTATTTTTTCACAATGAAATATCCTATAAAACTTTATAAATCGGTCAACTTTATTATGTGCATTATGCAGTGAAATAAAGCTCTTAATATTTTTAGCAGATGCACCCAGCTGGCCTTGGTGGAAACAGCAGATGCACTCCACTAGACTTTATGGAAACAGCAGATGCACCCAACTGGACATGGTGGAAAGAGAAGATGCACTCCACTGGACATGGTGGAAACAGCAGATGCACTCCACTAGACATGGTGGAAACAGCAGATGCACTCCAACAGACTTGGCGGAAACAGCAGATGCACCCAACTTAAGTCTTGGTGGATACAGCAGATGCACCCAACAGGACTTGGTGGAAACAGCAGATGCACCCAACAGGACATGGTGGAAAAAGCAGATGCACCCAACAGGACATGGTGGAAACAGCAGATGCACCCAACAGGACTTGGTGGAAACAGCAGATGCACTTCACTAGACATGGTGGAAACAGCAGATGCACCCAATAGATCATGGTGGAAACAGCAGATGCACCCAAAAGGACATGGTGGAAACAGCAGATGCACCCAGCTGGACTTGGTGAATACAGAAGATGGACCCAGCAGGACAGGGTGGATACAGCAGATGCACCCAACAGGACAGGGTGGATACAACTGGAGGAGACTTGCCTGATGACGTTGACCTTCCAAACAAGACATATCAAAGGAGATAACTGACACTGATCAGGTACATGTAAATGACATAGTAATGATTAAAGATCATCTAATTAACCATGTCAAATTAACTAGCTGACTTTTTATTTTAAGCCTGGCTTATTTTTAGCTATACTGGTCAGAGACAAAAAATAGCTTGTGATAGTAAACAAGGACATGGCATGATTTAAACAGCTGGAGGAGGCAGGGCTAATGGATGCTAATCTTCCAAGATGTGGAAATAGCAGATGTCCTCAACAAGACGTGTAACAGTAGATGTACCCAACTGGACATGGTGGATACAACTGGAGGAGACTTGTCTGATGACATTGACCTTCCCAACAAGACATATCAAAGTAGATAACTAACACTGATCAGGTAGATGTAAATGACAATAGTGATTAAAGATCATCTAATTAACCATGTCAAATTTCTAGATGAATTTTTATTTTAAGCCTGGCTTATTTTTAGTTCTACTGGTCAGAGACAGTAACTTAGCTTGTGATAGTAAACAAGGACATGGCATGGTGGAAACAGCTGGAGGAGGCAGGGCTAATGGATGCTAATCTCCTAAGATGTGGAAATAGCAGATGTCCTCAAGAAGACATGTGTAACAGCAGATGCACCCAACAAGACACTGAAAGAAACAACTGGATGATGCATAGCCAGTATATGCTGATCTTCCAAGAAGTAGAAACAGCAAATGCACCGAACAGTACATGGTGAAAAGAGTAGATGCACCCAAAAGGACCTGATAGAAACGACTGGAGGATGAATAGCCAAAGGATGGTGATCTGACATTTATCAGGTATGTGACATTATCATAATCCAAGATCATTTTTAAACAAAGTCAAGTTAACTAGCTAGCTAAAATTTTAGCTGGTCTTGTTTCTTATAGTCAGCAATAGCTGACTTTTGTTATGGTGATCAACCAGATAAACCAACTCTCTACAACGATATAAAATTTTTGCATAGAAATGTAAAGCATACCTTAAATCACTGTTGAGACATTACATGAACACTCATTAAAAAAGTTAAATGTGGATTTTCCTAAACAAACTTAAATGATATATTTTCTCAGTTGTTCTTCTTTTCACTCTTACTGCAACTGCAGCCAACAGAACCTTGTGGAAACAGCTGAAATAAACAAGCTTGATGAACATCTTTCAAGATGGTAAAACGGAAAATGCACCCAAAAGGACTTGGTGAAAAAATCTGGAGAAGGCAAGGCCAGTGAGTCTTGAGGCAAACTTTATGGACAATGATTTTCAAATATGCAAAAACACCAACTACACCCAAAAGACATTAGTGGAAACAACTAAAACATACAAGCCTGATGGACACTGTTCTTCAAGATGTGGAAACAGGAGATGCACACAACAAGACTTGGTGGATTATACAACTGGAGTAGACTTGCTCAATGGATTTTGACTTTTCCACCAAGACATACCACAGTGGATAGGTGATACTGATCAGGTATGACATTATCATATTTCAAAGTCATCTTATTGTATAAATACAATGTATTCAACAGGTCAAATCTTTAGTTAACAAGTAGACCAAATTATTAGTCCAGGGGACATTTATTTTGGTAGTCAGCAGATATAGCTGGCTTTTGTAATGGTGTTTAACCAAATATGTTGTGTCTTAATTTACACCAATATTAATAAAATTTTGCCTAGAAATTTATATATTGTATAATGTATACTCTAAACCACTGCTGATACATTTTTCTCAAACACTTGTTCAAATGAAGTTAAAGTGAAGATTTAAAAAAAAAAAAAAACATTGGTAAATACCCCTGTATGTATATTTTCTCCCATCTTCTGACTTTTGACTGAAAATTTGCTTAAATATGTTGTATTCATTGGGTCCTCCTTAAGCCTGTCTGCATTACATTCTATAATATTTACATTTCCACTAAATTTCCCCTGTGATTCTTTACAAAATAAAATGCAGTATATTTTCTCATGAACTACATTATGTATGTACCACGAATAAGCATGAATATCTCCATTGTTACGTCAAAATACTGCTCTTGATGTCAAAAAGAAAAAAAATATAGTGTACACTGTTTTGGTTTAAAAATGACAGTTGAATAGCATAAATTTATGGCAAGTCATCAGAAAAATAATGTAAATATAAGAAATGAATTTAATTTTTTGAAGATTCATGAGGTATATGAACTACAACGCTTCGTGTCGGCATATTTATCATGAAGCGCTAACACGCTTCATGAAATATGCCGGCGTGAAGCGTTGTAGTTCATAATTGTGTTCTCATGCTAAAACTGTCATGCAGTATGTGACCAGATGCACACCTTGCTGCAGAAGTCTCCACTGAGACCTCATCTGTGCACATTAATTAATATGTTTGACCTTCTACTGCTTGCATGTTTACCTTTGAAAGTGGTGTACAAAACCCCAGAATGATACATCTGATATAATTTATTTATGTTGTGAAATTCTAATCTAATTTCATATTTTGTGTTGTTACCTGCGTGACACAGTGGTATTTTTAAATAAGAGCATCTGCTATAGAATATCGTAGAAAGAGATTGATCTTAACGTGGGTTGAATCCCACTGTGGAACAAGGAGACAGGTCTTTCAGATGATATCGTATACATACTAATGTGCCATATTGCAGTATGTGCTGGCACGAAAAAGATCCCTCACTGCTTTATGACCCTTATCGCCAAGTTTATTTCTACATTAATTTATAGCCCATGGCCTCCAGTTAAAAATGTTGCCATATGAGTGAAAAATTCTTAATAGCGACTTTAAACAAGAAACAGACAAGCAAACATACATGTATTTCATGTTAGTATTTTTTTTTTGCTACTAAGCCATATAGGAACAGCCAATTTTGTGTTATTACTGATTATAGTCTTCCAGTTTCTCAGAATCTTTTGTTCTAATCATTTGTTATTTCAATTAATGGATGTAATATTACTTCTGAGTATATTCCTTTTATTTTATTAATAAGGTTTAAGATTTGGAGAACAGAATAAGGAGGGAATGAAACTGGATTCATATGGATTTTCTTGACTATTTCAAGGATGAGTATCTTTCAGGTATGGAAAACTCAGACCTTAATTGCTTTTTTGTATCTTTTAGCTAACTTGAGTAAATTAAAGGCTCAAGTGCATGAGGTTTTCTGATCAATATTTGTCCGATGTCCGATGTCTGTTGTTGTTGGCATCATTGTTGTCATAAACTTTTTCAAATTTTTTAAAATAAGCAATTCTTTTCTGAGTGTGAAGAACCATAAAGCGAATTTTAACCAAAATTGGCACAGAATATCCTTGGATAAAGGGAGATATTAAGTTTGTTCATTTGAAGGGCCACACCTTCCTCTAAATAGGAATAATTAAGAAATAGTAAAAATTAGGTGGTGTTATTTAAAAGTCATATTCTCAAGAACAACTTGGTCAGATCTTAAATATGAATTCTGCTGCGATTTATGTGAAAAGCACAGCTTTCACATTATATTTGCTCTTATTTTCATCTTCTGGGCAGAGATTCAGCACAGTGTGGCTTAAATGAGCATGCTTATTTTAATAAGTGAATTTCTTTGTGAGGACATTTCATGGGTTTTTCTGTGTTTAGGAGCTCTTTTATAGAACTTTTGAAATGTACGTAAAAAAAAAATTAGGATTAACTTACTGAATGGACCTTGTACAATGAATAAATCTTGAATAATTTTCTTCTCAAGAACAGCTAAGCAATGATTGGTCATATTTTTATTGAAGCATCCTCAGGTAGAACTATTTGTTCAAACCATGATCCCACAAAAATAAATAGAGGCCACAACTGGGGATCAAAGTTAAACATTTAAAGAAATGTTAAAGAATTTTTCAATAAATAAAGTATTCTTCTCAATATGAGCAAGGCTATGATAATTTAAGTCATATTAATGCAGAAGCATCTTCATATAGTGAAGATTCAAGTATGTGTTCAAATCATAGGTAGTGACTAGACTCGAGTTGAAGTTCCAATACTGAACTGATTTCTGCTTTTTCCTAGTCTTAGTGTTCATGCAGGTAAGCAATGTAACATATATCTCTTGTTAGTTCTTTTTTATTGAAACCTTACAATTTTTATTTACAGAAAATAAAAGAAATTTTAGAAGGATCATCTTGGAGATCATCATCCATGGGTGGATGAAGAATCAGTACTTAATTTAATGCAGGATCAATCCAAATCTTCAAAGCACTGATGTGAATGTATTCTAGTAACAATGTTTTTTTCAATGATTTTTTTAAAAACATTTTTGTAAAGGGTGTCCGAATTATGTTAGGGTATGGGGTCGCCCATTCGGACACGTGGGTTCTCTACGGGTACTCCGTCTTCCTCCCACACTGACCCCCTGCTTTTCTTTTTTTTCTTGACTTAGCTATACATGTTGTTAAGATGAAGTAGTTGAAGGCTAGTTGTAAGTAGGCTTAAATTTATCGATACCCTGGGGCATTACTGGTTGGAACTTACGTTCCTTGGCCGCTACGGTAGCCAGGCTGGCTTGGGGAGGAGAAGCTGAAAGGGACTATTGGATCTCAGGCTGCTTTGTCTTATAATTATCTTTTTATTATTATGCCAATGAGATAATAGTTCGTTATTGGAATTGTTTAGATGAAGTTAAATTGTTCCAGATGTAATATGATTGTTAAATATGACATAAGTATTCCTAGAATGTGTAAATTTTTTCCAGCTATTGTAGCTCGCCTCTTGGTTATTAGCTTAATTTGTGAAATTGGAATGCATCACATGTATATACTGATGTGACTATATGCAGTGAAAGAATTGGATGTAAAATTGTTAATTGCATTTGAAAATGTAAGATAGTGATTTGCCTCTAAAAATGTTAATTGTGATTGGTAAATACTAAATTGTTATTTAAATTGTTTATGTTAATTGAATCATAATTTGAAATGTTAAATCATGATTTTTTTAATGCAATTGTGAATTGTTGATGCGATATTGTGATTTGTTAATGTGAAATTATTTAATCTCATTGGCAAGTTTTGTGCCCCCAAAAAAAACAACAAAAAAGCAAACAAAACAAAAAACATAAAAAAAAAAAAAAAGAAAAAACAACAAAAAAAAAGATTGAAAGAAAAAAAAACAGGAAACAAAAATTAAAAAAATAAAGAAAATGAAAAAAGAAAAACAACCAAAAAAAAAAAATAAATAAAAAAAAAAGAATGAAAAAAGGCACAAAACTTTTAATGCTGCCTGCTTGAATTAACATACATTATTTACATGTTATTTCAAACAGAAGGTTCCAAG